CATGTTTCCTCAAAGCCTGCAACTGGCAAGGGAAATTACCTCCTCTTGCTGCTGCTAGCAGTTTTATCAGCAGAAGGGAAGCATTTCTTTAAATTAATATTAATGCAACCTCAGTGTACCACTGCTCTCCATTGTCTTTGAGGCTGTATCATGCCTACTGACCAATCACTTAACTGAGTTATCCTCTTGCTTTCAGAAAACAAAAAGTTTTGTTCTGAACAAAAAGAATGTGAGGAACATCATGCTGGGAACTCTGTCCCCATGAAGTTTCCACTTACTTTTGTTTAGTGTCCTATCCTAAGTTTTTAACACGAGTAATAGGGAAAAGCCATGTTCTGCATTTCACAGAGAATAAACACGAATATATATTTATTTTTTATTATTAAGGGGGAAAAAACACATAGAAAGTGCTTTAAGAAAAAAGTGAAAGAAATACAACAAAGAAAAAAACATGTCAATGTCATTGTAACAGTAAACAATTACAATTCTATATATACTTATCTAAAACATGATAGTCATATAACTGTATTAGAAATATATATGTACTTGAATAATATTTGCATCAGAGAATAAACACTAATGAAAACCTGTCAACTCTACATGACTTTTATCTTCAGTGGGAGAAGGAATCTTTATAAATGATACAGAAAAAATCTGTATAACTGATACAGCAATAGCCAAAACAAAACTATCTGAACCAATGGATGGAGTTAACTTTGAAATTAGATTTACTAAATAGCTCAAATTTTAGGTAAGGCAGACAGACTCCATGCACTGATGTACAACATGAAGCTAAGCAACAATCTGAAATTATTAGCTTCAATTCTAAAGTAGGTTAACAAGTCACAGAAGGAAAATAACCCATCTCCTTCTTGCTCCCCCCAGCAATGTTGGTTGTGAGGCAGAAGATGACTGGGGGTTAAGGAAGATGGGGAATTTTGCCTCTTGGAGTCCCATAAGATATTTTGTCATCTAAGCCTAATTCAATCAAACTACCTAGGAAAAGGGTTTGAAATTATCATACTTAACATTTGAAAGGGGTTTTTTTCCCCTTAAGAACTTAATTAATGTGTTACTATTATGCTTTATTGCCTTATGAAGATGTCTGAATAATAGAACGACATGATACAGTGAGGAATCCACTAGAATTGCTCATGCCAGGACAAGAGATTCTCATGGAAGAAGAATGTCAGCATGGATTATGCAAATATAATCCTGGTGCTGTCTTGTAATTCCATCATTTAAATATTAACAATACAGTGAGAGATTAAGTCACAAGAAGGGGAGGGTGTACATAAGGAATAATGGATTATTTGGATGACTGGAAAGAAAAGGGGAAGAATTCTAGTTGTAGTCATATGGCATCTGAATGACTTTATCAAATATCTGCATAAGCAAAACATAAAGAAATGGGAAAGATGGTTCCCTAAAAGGTAATTTATCATCACTGGACATAGAAACTGCACAGTGAAAAAGACAGGACCTAAACTTTGAGAAGAACATCAGCCATAGCATCCTAGTATACACCAGATAAATTAATTAGATTTGAAAGTCTGTGTTGCATCCAAATTAAGCAGCTCTGAGTATAAAGAAGACCCTTGGGAGGTATTTCCATACTAAGTATTATAATTTGCAGAATATGTTCACCAATTATACAAGTAAACCAAAAACTTTGCAGTCTTGTCTTTTATGTTATGCTTGTTCAATTTGTTTCCTCATTCTTTATGCTGAATGCATGTGATTTCACTTTTCTTTTAAAATAGTACTACTATATTTATTATAGAGAAACATTAATTTGTATTTAGCTCTGAAAATCTGCTTTGTATGCCAGCTTTTTAAAATGAATCTCATTGACTTTCCCATGCAGCATGCAGGATATATATGCCTGTTAGATGAACTGGCATTTGGCAGTACCAAATTAACCTACTAATCTTTCTTTGCACAAAACATGATCAGTCATTATGTGGATGCAAAAGGAATCCAAGTCAAGCATGCAAGAGCAACACTTTGCTCAAATACACCATCAACATGTCTATAATCACAGCATGAGAAACTCAACAAGCAAGGATCAAGAGAACAAACAAAGGTGAAATTTACATTGTGGAATGACTTTTGAAGGTTTGCTTCTGTGAGAAATTGCTAACCAGGCTAACCACTATTGTCAGAGTTGTCTATAACAAAGACCACAAAGGCATAGTGCAGCATAAATATTTTTAAAGTTAAAAATCCAGTATAATAGTACTTCCAGTTATGACCCTATGCCTGCCTGCGTGGAAGTAAGCCACTTACTAGAATCCTAGAAGTATGCTGAATGCTACCAGGCTTGTAACCATTGCAACTGCTCCCTCCCTACTCACTAATTTCTCCTGATTGTAATTTAAGCCTGGAAAAAAAGCCAGATTCAAAAAAGTGCAACTGTGCATAGAAATTTGGAGGAAATCTGCAGGAAAGGAAGAGTTCAACATTCTACTCCTTCCTTTCACTGGCCTTCCTCATTATGCTTCAGTATTCTAAGTCATAGACTATTCCACTGTTACATCTGTTTAGGGCCTTAATTGCCTGCTTCTTCAATAGTCAACTCAACCCAATCCTATACAGTACATGTTTACTTTAAGGTTAATTCTGCTACTTTCCACAGAATTTACTCTTTAGCAAGTATCAGAAGAACTGCAATCTTAGATTGCAATCCTACACAAACATACTTTTTTAAAAAAGCTACATTGGAACTTATTTCTGAATAAACAAGGAATTGTGCTGTCAGTAACTTACGCTACCAAAAGGGAGCATTATATAAAGTGCTCAAAGCTGTTTAAAAAGTGGCAGCTGTCTTCATCTCTCAGAGAAGACAATGAGATTGGAGGACACCAAGTACCTCTTATGAATCTCTCATGAATCTGGCACTAGCAGTTGCACGTAATTTCTAACTGGCAATCCTTTCAGAGCAATCATCCATGCTTTTCAAATGGGGGAGGGAATGCACAAAAATGACAGCTTGAATGCTTTGAGGAAGGCAAAACACCTAGTCAAAAGGAGCAACAAACTAGAAATATGCTTAAGAAAAAATTATTTTTAGAAAACCAATCCCAGTTGTAAACTTAATTTCCTGTAATTTCCTGGATCTTTCCATTTAAGGTCCTACTAATCTGGAAAAATAACTTTTTAAAAAATAAATGTGAACTAAAAGAATAGCATTTATTTCTGCAAGGTATTGAAAGACAGAATAAAGTAACCAGTTATACAATGCAATTTTTTAAAAAAGAATTACATTTACTTTGATCACAAAGCATTTCACAACATGTCTTTCTTGATAATAGAGGCTAGATTTGATCTTAGGCTTTGTATTATATTTATTAATGCTGCAAACCTGACAAGAAACAGGCCAATTACCTAAACATGTTACAGAAACAACATCTCTGCATTTGCAGTTTCACAGGCAACCTTTTTAAGAAACAGAGGTGAGAAAAGAGTAGGGAACTAAAGGTTGGTGGGTATGCAAACAGCAGCTGTGCTGATGGGCCTGATAATACATTCAGCAGAGAGAAACAAAAGAGATGCCACCTCCTGTTTGCTTTTTTCTTTTGCTGCCTTTTGAAATAATTTTTGCTTCTTGTGCCACAACTAAAAGAAAAACACATTTCAAAATCAGAGCTGCACTGTCTTTGTTCCAGCAGCAGGAAATGAACTCACATCACCTGGCCAGTAATTCCAGATGCGTGAACTGTTGACACTTCACTGCCCACACAAGGTCAATGTTCACATTCCCAGATTTACCTCCCCATTTTCATGGCCTCAGGTCATACACAAGGGAACACAGGGCTCTGAAATGTAAGCATGTAAAAGGAGCAGAGGGAAAGAAGATGGAGAGACTGTCTTTGTACAGAAAGGAGATGTGGCTGATGATGGAAAATGTGTGACTGTATAGGCCGCTTTGGACCCCGGCAGTATTCAGTTTCTACAATAAAAAGTGTTACACACCTGAACTAAAAAAAAAGAAAATCTTCTTGAACCCAGGCTTCTGGAGAAGGTTTGAGTGCCACGAAACTCAGTGGGACTTACTTCTGAGTAAGCAAATCTAAGAAGAAGGTGTTGCTAGTGAAGAGGACTGTACACACATACCTGAAAGTAAGCCCAGGTGAATTTTGCTTACTTTGGAATATAAACTCATAGTATTGGGCTATGTAGTAGTGAATACCATTTTGAAAATTAACCAGAAATCCTTTGCGTGTCTATTCAGAAAGAAAGGCCTGTTGAGTAATATCTTGTTCTTAGGTAAGTACAGAATTGCATCTGAAGGCACTCTGTTATCATGAAAATCATGTTCTATAGGTCAGGGCTGACCCTTCGGTCCGATGCAGACTGGCTGAAATTAAGCTCTTGGCTGCATCCATCCACCTTCATCTGCACAACCTGGTGATGGTTTCGGGCCAGCCGATTTCTGGAGAGTTGGGACTACACTACAATCGGCTTCTCTTCTTTAGGATTGTGCGGAGAGACACAGAACTAGATCCATAAAATGAAACTAGCGGGAAGGAGGCAGAACCGGCGCGGAGTCTCTGTCCATGGGATGAGAGGCAGGAATCGTCCCCCAGCGCTTGAAACACGGATGCGGGGGAAAGTGCCTCCGATTTGCAGCGGTTCTTGCTCCTCGGAATTAGAACGCGGCGCGGGGAATTCGGGGGAGGGGAGAGAGAAGGAAGGCAGGGACGTGGCGTGCGGGTTTTCAAAAGTGTGACTGACAGCCAGACAAAGATGGGGCTGGCTAGTGACGGAGCTATTAAGTATGGAAGGGAAGGGGTGGATGGACAAGAAACGAGGAAGGAACGAGCCCATGTGGTGTACTGAGATGGGCGTCTGTGGCGGAAAAAAGACGATCGGATAAGAGCGCGAAAGACGGGGCCGATAACGAGGAAGGATGCTCGGCGTGGGCAGCAGGAGCGCTTGTGGGCCGTCCAACCCTCCACTCCCCGCCCAGCGCCCAGCCCGCTGGTCCTGCAGCTTACCTGAGCAGTTGCTGCCCGCCTTCCCCTTGCCGGCGCAATCAGTGGCGGGCGCGGCAGGGGAGAGAGGGTTGGACGTCCGGACGGGAACCAGGGCGCAGAGAGCCACCGCCAGCACCAAGAACACGGCACTGTTGCAGCCGGGCGAGGGCCGGGGCCGGGCGGTGGCCGCCATGGCGAGGACTTGCAAAAGGGGACTGCAGGCCCTTTGGGTCTCAATGGGCGCCGCCGGGAGGAGCGCGGAC